TCGTTTCAAATAGACAACTTTTCATCGGACTTTTTCAAAATGGCGGGTCCCTAAATTGATAAGAGACAGTTGGGTGACAGTTTGGGACATGTTTTGGTAATTTTAACGTGATGTATGCACATAATTTATGTTTTTCGGGTGAGTTAAGCACGTGCACCATTACAATACATCATTGTGGTATTAAATGAATAAATCCTTTAGATGAAAAACATCGTTTCAAATAGACAACTTTTCATCGGACTTTTTCAAAATGGCGGGACCGAAATTTGATGACAGGGAAGTCTCTTTTTTTTCAATTTTTTTTGGTTGCAATATGATGTTTGAAGAGTTTCGTTGAGGATATGGAGTTATATTTTGTAATGAATTCCGTACTTACACATTTCAGGTTGAAGAGAATGCAGGTGAAAGATCTCTAGTTTTGCTGGTAGATGTAGCCATAATTGAACAGTCAAAATGATTGTTTCCAGCAGCAACTTGATGAGGCACAAGGCTCTGTTTTCTTACCACCACTAACATTAAACTACAGTGCATAAGAGGTAACCATCGATGGTTTTGGGTATAACTTCTTGATCTGCTCAATTTGAGTCTAGTGGGGCGACTCCATTCTGTTGGAGGGGTGGCAGGTGGGGCGACTCCATTGCATGAAAGGGGTGGCAGGTAAGGCGAGTCTTGTAATTACCCGGAGGGGTTATTTAGAAAGTACATTACATAAAAGGGGGGGGGGGGGGTAGTGACAGGTGGGGCGAGTCTATTGCATAAAAGGGGTGACAGGTGGGGCGAGTCCATTGCATTAGAGGGGTGACAGGTAAGGCGAGTCTTGTAATTATCCGGAGGGGTTATTTAGAAAGTATTGGTCATTTTACAACGATTTAAAATTTAGGTACTACAGAAAACCATCAACTTCAAAAACATTGACATTTTTTACAGATCAGATTGAATTTGAAAGTCCTATAACACTAAAAAAACTCATTTTCCATTATGATTACTACTATCCTTATCATAATTATTTCATAAAGTGAAAAATAAAACGCCAAATTACAAAAGTTTTTTTATTAAGTTTTCATGTAATAGATGTACAAAGGAGCGAAACAGCTAGACTTCATAGGTTGCTTTCAGGTGGATGCTGTGCAGAATCTCGTTGAGCTCTGAAAAGATAAAATAATGTTTACAACTTTGAACTAAACAGACAAGTTCTTTACATGAACAACACACGGCACAATGGAGACGACAGGCTGTGTAAAATATGTACCTGTTTATCATTGTACAATGAGCACTTGGAATCCTTGGATCAGAAGCTCAGAACGGTGACAAGCATTATCCAATTAATTTATTTGGGTGGTAATACTTACATTTAAACACACACGACATTTTAAATTAGGTCAATATATTCAAATTAATTGTCAAGGCCGGGTCACACAAAATGTTCAAACAGAAGGTTACAAAGTGCAGAGGATTTCAAGCAATTTAGGTTATCGTCAAAAGTCAGATGAATGCGCCGTTTATCCTGAACATTTGGAGTCCCAGTGCACTGTAAGCAATAATTTCTACCATTCTGAGTGACATACAAGTAACAATGGAAATATAGTAAAAGGATTCATGTCATAAATATTTGTCTTAAACATTTTTCTCATTCTTCTGTGTCTTTAGAATTTAATGACTGTAGTTGATGAAGAAATAGTGATACTCACATACATACAGTTGCTTCCATGCCTTATAAAAGCTCGAGCTTCTGACTGCACCACAGATACTGTTGTGTCTACACCCTACTCTGTCTAACTGCCAAGTGAGCATTCGGGAAGACAGCTCGCACTACGATGAACAACTTGCTGTAATGCAAATAACAACAGGTATAGCTCATTTTAGCTGAGAGGTTGTTACTCAAACTTCACGAATGTTCAATAAACCCGGTGGTGATACCTTCATATGCTCAAAGTCGTGCAAATACTCGATGTCACATACAATACTCTTCATTCAAGGCCAAAGGGTTAAAGTCATAATAACTCTTCGTTTTGGCCAAAAATTGGATTTTCCTGGAAAAAACGGCAATTTTCCCGTACTTACCAATGGCCAACGACCCCATTCCTGCATTCAAAGTTAATCCAGGGTTTTTTTCCTAAACGTACGGTTTTTTGTTAAAATCTCTTAAGAGATTTTAACTGACGGAGCTCTCTCTGACATTGCAAAGTCACTGGTGACCTACTTAAAACCGCGGGAAAAGCAGACAACAACAACACTATATAAGATTCCTGAGATATATTCGTCTTTTTGTTAAAAATGCATTTATATCCACAATGTGTGCCATTCTGGGCTTTTCGTTATCCGACGCACTGTACAAAAACTCGCAACTTACGTCTGAGGGTTTCCCGCCATGTTATTTTGGTCTCGAATGAACGCGAGAATCCGCGTGACACCATTACGTCATTAGCAACGAATGCACTTGTCGACCGGAAAAAAAATGATCGAAAGCCCTATTGACAAGCACAGATTTTAGTTTTCCTACAATAACGGCCGTTTTAGTGGTAAAATACAATAGAATATATTTCCATGCGTTGTTTACAATGTATTTCATGCGGATTTTTGAATCTCAAAGGAAGAGTTATTATTGCTTTAAACTGGGCCTACTACACATGTAGCCCAGGTGTAACAGGAATGGGTGTCCGCTAGGAACCGTAGTCCGCTTCACATTACTATGTACAAGTGACATTCGTCCATATACTAACCCCAAAACTCCAATTAACCCTAACCTGTACTAATCATATGGGAGCCCGGACTTCCATTCCTAGGACTTCCTTTCCTGTTACACCTGTTTCCCCTATGTGAAAATTATTCTGAGAAATCAGCACTGATAAGGATAACATTTCATTAAATATTCAGTTCTAAATATCCCACCGTAACAATAAATTTGAGCAAATTTCCCTTAAGCACTAAAGTATAATTCCAAAGCAGAAATGATGATATTACTATTATTTTTATATGTTGCATTTATGTTAATTCTAGGCATTTACTGATAGTTTGACAAAATGCATAGAATTTCATCGTCACAGCATACTCATAATGCGTTTGTTGAGACAGCAATGCGCAGATCCCAACTAACACATTTCCGTTATGACTGACGAATACTGTGAACACAACTCGGCACAGACGGAGCCAGAATGAACGATATTACAATTTGGGTGGGGGTGGGGGTGGGGGTCGGGTCTAGGGGTAGAAGAGGTGCATGCACACATGAAAAAATGAAGCGGCTGTTGGACACTCACCTACGTGACGCTACTTTGACTGCGCGTGCGAATGCTGACTGCAAGCGCGTTAGTTAGATTCGCTGACTAATAACTGTTTAGACTAGTCTTTCATTCACATTCTACTTAATAAAAAATTATATATTACTTTAAGTTTATTGCGTAGAAAGGCAGATAGATATTCCGTATGTTTTTTCAAAAATCCCATGGAGACGCAACATCGTCAGCTAACGATAAATTGTAAAACCGGTCGTAGAAGAATTACAAACAAAACATATGTGAAAGATATACATACTGGATTATAAATAAACATAAATGGCCATTTTATTTTGCATATCCGCTTAACACAATTGTCCTACAAAAATTTCACAATTTTCTAATCATTCAATATCTACTTTCTATTATTTCTACATTTACTCCATTGTGGCGCGTTTTTGTGCATAGTGAATCTGAAAATGACTTGTCTATTGCAAAGCAATTTGAGCATTCTTGGCTGTCTCACTTTTGGCAACAATTCGTGTACGAAAATGAGAAAAATAGTACACATATAAAAATAATTACTGATAAAAGCCGCTGTGACACATCCTATTCTGAAGCAAACCCCACTTAAAATATCATAAATTCTGGCAAATTTGAGTATTGTTATTCATAGAAAGTCGTTGTTCTTTCCTCTGTTTGTTGCAGGAGTTTCCCATGCAGAAATTAGATATCCTGTAATTTACTGATAGACAGTGTCTGAAATTTAAACGCTGTCTTAACCAAAAACATGCACGTCTTAAGCAGCGCTATCATATTCACTAAATGGGAATGGCGTAGATTACAGCATAAACTGACCAGGCAAAGAATCACTGTACTTCAATAGGAGCCGCGCCAGAAGCTGCATTCGCTGCTTTCATGTTTTTAAGCATAGCCATCAACCCACCAGCAGCGGCGGGCTTTTTGGCAGGCGTCTCTTGTATAGATGGCAGCACGGGTCTAGGGTTAAGGTCATTTTTCTGAACTTGACCTTGACCTTCAGTCACTTGACCTTGAGGCTGATCTTTTGGAACCGTCAGTAAATTAGACCCAGGCTCCTTTTTGGTTATACTCGCAAAGAATCCTTTGCTGAGTTCTAGTTTTCCTTTGGTTAACGCCGGCTCTGAAGCTGCCAGCGATACTGTGCTGTCTGATAAGTTAGGTAAATCTCCCATAGACTTCGCCTTCCGTGGAGGGCGGTTCATCTCCCGATATTTTTTCATGATGGACGAAAGAGTCGGCGGAGCTTCTTTTGGAAGCAAGGTTTCGTCGACTTGGTACTTCCTTTGGCAGTTCTTGGTGCATGTTTGCAGCGCAAGGAGCTCTCTGTTCGTCTGTAGCACCTTCGTGGCGGCGGTTAGCATGGAGGCCATTTCCTGAGCCGTCTTCCTGGGCCTCCGTATGGATCCCACTGCCGCGGGATCTCCCGGCCATAACTGAAATGATATTAGAGGAAAACGTAGTAATAATCTTTTGCACAACTTTGAAGACAGCGATACGTAGAAAAAAGTCTGAAAATCACATTAAATTTCCCTCTATACAAAATATGTAGATACAAATGGGTGACAGAAGACTAAATGTTAAGATCAGCAGTAGATAAAAAACACGTACAATGTATTTGAAATATGACGAGTTGACTTATGTACACAGTTTAAGTACATTCTTATATTTGTCACTGGTACATGTATTCGTATAGAAAAACAGATTTTCCTGTAATTTGACAATTTTCAAATTAATCTGCTGTTTTTAATATGACCTGGGATTTTCTTTTTATTGCCGTATATTTTTAAAGATAAACAAGATATTAAAAAAAGAAAACTTAGAAAATGCATGAATGAAGACTATTGCTTCTTTTATGTGTGCTTCGCGGTTATCTTAAGCAGATAAATGATTTTTTATCGTTGTAGTTGCTTAGAAAAAATCAATGTCCAACTGCCACAATTTCTTGAGTAGCATCACAACGCACACGCGAATCTGGGATATTGATAGATCTAGATTTGGGGAGAGGGTGGTGGAATGTTTTTCTTAATTTTATGGCAAATTTTAATAATAGACAATTTAATCGTGATATATTTTTACCGAAAACAGGAAATTGTCGCTTCTTGGGGTGGCAGAGGGGTGGGGGTAGGGGGGGGTAGGGGTATCTCAGGAGCTTAGAGAGAGATACAGCGCTTGCTGTGCCCTCTCCCGGACCCGCCATTGCAATGTCGTAAAGAAAGCTTGAATTTCTTTTACCTTTTTCTTCTGTTCCTTCTTTGGTCGCAATTTATCCGCAATTTTCTTAAGCCCCTCTAAAGTATTATCCCGCTTCTTAGGTTTGAGACTCGATAGGTCCGTATTTTGATTACTCAGCGCTTGGAAAATATTCGCTGCGGGTATGTCAGTCTGCGTCGGCTGTCTGCTGGGAGGGTCTTGCACTGAAACTGTTTTATTTATGCTCGGCAATTTCAAAGTCTTTTTCCCTTGTTGGGTGTTATCGACGTTTGAAGGTTCCCTAGATACGGCCGGAGAAGCCTGTGTATTAGAACGACTCCCTATTTTCGGAAGCATTATTGTTGGCGCCAGTTTATAGTCACGTGGCAGATCCAATTGGTCATCTTCTTTTTTCTTGCTTTGAAAAAGTTTTAATAATCCTCCTTTGAAATTCATCATCCGGCGCATGGATCGCGCCTTTTCTCGCATCCTCTCGGCTCTTTTCCGTCGCATTTCTATCTCCTTCGCTTCTCGTTTTAACTTCGCGCATATTCGTCTTTCTTCGGCGAGTTCGACATTGATGATTGCCGTTGACTGAAGACGATCCTTTTCTATCTGCTTCAACTGTTTCCTTAACTTCGTGTCCTCGTAAATGTTTTTGCTCTTGGCGAGGATGTAGGCCCTGTCTCCCATTTTTGAATTTGAGCTTTATGGGACTGTCACGTAACAGGTACTTGCATCATTCTCTCACGTTTATACTGTAGGTTCCACGCGAACTCTATTTACCTCACTTCCCGTTGTCATGGCAATCTGAAAAGTAAACAAGAAACACGTCAACGGATGTAATTGAAAATAGTTCATAGTGTACTCAAAGCACAACCCAAAGTTTAAAGGCTCGAATTAATTGACTTTGAATAATTAGAGAAAAAATCACAGGATTGAAAATGCCAGTATCAGAGTACAGGCGAGTACGTTTGTCGTTGAACCGTGAGTAGCGATTTCAGCGAGAAATTTTACAATGGCGGATCCCCGGCGGGCACACCGGGCAGGTATTCCTCTCTTGGCTTAGGAGGAATTCTCTTCTCACACCCCCCCAAAAATAAATAAATAAATAAATAAATAAATAAATAAATAAAATGAAATGAATGGTATAACGAAAGAAACGTGATAAAGCAGATTTTCAATATCTCTGTGCCCTACATACAGCCATGCATATTTGTCAAAAGCCCCGTCTGCTGTTTTATATTCCCAACACGAAGTTTTGTTTATCCTCATTAGCAATATCCTGGAACCTGGATGATTATTATGAGATGAGGCGAGGATTTTGAAACTTATCAGAGAATGCATCACTGTTTTAAAAAATCTTTCACCTAGCAATCAACTGGTCCCTGGAACCCCGCCCTCCGCACTTAGGGTGCATTCCCAGAGATTTAGATCGATCCAGAGATTTAGATTTAGATCGACCTAACTCCCTGGGGGTTCACGCTAAATTGCAGTCAGCCGAGCGCGCAGCATAGTTAATAACCCCCTTACAGCTTTTAATAGGCGGGACAGACGCTTAAGTCGGCTAAGCTGACAGTAATCTATTGAGACTCCCTACAGGGATAGATTGATCTAAAATCTATGGGAATGGGGTCTAAGATCATACGTACTGCGATGGAAGTCCGCTAGGAACCGTAGTCCGTTCCCTATTACTTCGTGAGGTGACATTCGTCCTATATACTAAACCTAATACTCCGATCCACCCTAACCTGTCTTAATCATATGGGACCTAGCCGGCAATGAAACAATATCAATACGAGAACAAGAAAAAAGATAAATTTAGTAGGCATTAGAGCAAGCAAGCTCTTGACTTACAATGTTATGCAGCAACGGTCTACCTTCTGTCACAACATCACACTTCCAGATGAATCAGAACAATCACTCTCTCAATATCAACGCAGCTTTTCAACGTTAGATCAAGTCTATAAACGCTAATGTTTAAGCACAGCCCCTTACTCAACCACATACCCTCTATATTTTCCGATTTGAGTAGTTTCTTTGTTCTAGGGACGGCTCATCACCAAGTGTGACCACTGAACAGCATTTATTAATAGATGATCTATCTTTTCCTGTTGAATTATATAGGAGCACCCAGTAACCGCCTTTCTCTCTATAAACGTATTCTGAATTTCTTTTCAATAATCTATGCATTTTTAATGCGATTTGAAAGCGGTTCGCAGGGATCAAAGGCGCTGAAATGTTACGACCTTTAAGTTGCTGGGTGCGTGTGTTTGGGTGAAATAGCTGATGGGAAATTCTCACGTTGTGTGCATGCGTGTCAGCGAGTACGTGCACGCATGTTGTGTAATCATCTACGCGTGTGCGCGTGTGCATGTTTCTGAGTTTAAGGTTATTTGTGCGTGCGTTCTGTGCGTGAATGTTTAGGTGTGCGTGCTTGACGGCTTGAGTTTGTGCGTGCGCATACAAGTGTACAAGTGTACGTACAGGCGCACGCGCGCGTGTGTGTGTGTGCTTGCGTAAGAGAGAGAGAGAGAGAGAGAGAGAGAGAGAGAGAGAGAGAGATGCCTCATTACATTAAAGCAAATAATTTCATATCAACAAAGTACCGTCGTGCGATCATAACACCGTGCCTATGTGACCAAACTTCAACTTAAGATACAGTGGTCATTTAATTTAAGAGATAACTGACCGGTAGAGGTCCGCCCATCCCTTCTTTGCGCTAAAGATTAATAGATAATTTAGCAATATATATGCACCGTGACTGAAGTGATTGGGGGGGGGGGTTAACTGCTTGTTTTACCTATCAAATGATCTTTTTCCCTACCATTCGCTCTACAACATTCACTATATGATACGCCTGAAATAAAAAAAATTCCTATCTCTATGTTAAATTTGATATTGATTTTCTTTTCCGTGAAATATCAGAATTTGAATGCGCAGTATTCCGTCCTGATAGTAAATGCCTCAGATAAGGTCGGAAATTAGAAAGGTTATCAATATAACCGTGTATACAGAAGCGCTGTTATTATATTTGAGAATACCCTGGGGTTCATACTGTGTGGATTTGTATAAAATATGACCAAAAATGTTCAATCACTTGGTTAGATCATATATGATAACTATAAAACACAAGCTGAAATGTTTTCGTACTTTCAGCTTATATGTATTAAGGTTGTATTAAACTTTGAGGCGACATGTCAATGGCAGATCTGGATCCAGGTGTCATGTCAATGACCAAGTCAGATGACATGTCAGTGGTGACACGTCGAAGGAAGATAACGGGACATAACGTGATGTCATAATAGCTTCTTACACACCCCTTCTTCCCTTTCGTTTTATGGTAAGCGAAACGACACGATATCAAGCAATTTTCTATCTCTGTGGCTTAGGCCTACATATTACATTCTGCACTAAACCCTAGGTCCTTCATTGTTGTCTTCCTCATATAAAAGGCCATTCTATTCGGGGTTGCCAAATCCCATACACGTTCTATTTTACTGTTATTAGTAAATCCTTTTCACTGGATAAAGCAATGTCAGAAATGTACGTGCATGCGGCACACGCACACGCGCTCGCACGCACTCTCTTATAACACTAACGCCGATATAGGAGCCACATAGTCGTACTATAGGCAGGCACTGATCCTGATCTTTTTGAAGACTTGTCAACCAGCACGAATAATATGACAGTATTGTATTACTATTTTGCCTCTTATAGGGGTCGAAACTCGACAAAAGACCATCCATCGTTTATAAAGAAGCCGGAAACAGCAAATAATTCGAGTAGCTAGACTTTAGTTCTGATGATGACACAAGACAAAAATAGATATCCGAGGACGATATAAGATTTGGCAATTTTATGGGATGGTCGCATCCTTAAAAGTCTGCAAAGTGACGCAGGTTATCAAGCGAATTTCCCAGTAATGACGGGTGGTTGTGACAAGACTGAGTCAACTTTCGTTATCAAGTACTTATATTTTATCTTTAGGACAGTATTATTACCTCTAAGCTGATTTCTAGGCGAAATTATCGTTGTAACGTTATACACGTATCTGTATAGCAATGAACTGGTATTGAAATAAATGAGAGAGAAAGAGAGAGAGAACCCACTGTTTTTCCTGTGTGTGTGTGTGTGTGTGTGTGTGTGTGTGTGAGAGAGAGAGAGAGAGAGAGACCTTTTGGCTGTACGAATCACTCTGACTTTCAATACTTAACTTCCATCGTCGATAACATACCTTACCATACATCTTGTACTTCCTTCACATGTCACCGAACCGAAAATGTCCACAAAATCCTACCAAGATGAACAGTGATAATCGCACCTGTCTCAATTTTAATGTCTATAAGATTAACCATAACGGTAGACCACCTCCGAACGGTCCGGTAATCCTACCTTCCATACGGGCCCATAAATTATAATCCACGTCAATATCTCATATCTTTTATCTTGAAACACGCCCTACGATGAAATTTCATTTCAACCTACCTTCATATTCCTTTAACATTACATTTCAAGTGAATGAACTCCACCGACACTGTATCCTTATCCGTTTCCACAGGTGACTTCAGTCTAAGTGCGCTACACCCAGTGCATGGGTCCCTAATACAATAACAATGGACACCAACCCCCTGACTCTGCAGTGTAACATTTCATCCAATATTCGGCCGTTGCTATACAGCTATTAACGCGTGACATAATAGACGTAATTTCAAAACCTTAAGTTTTATTGAGACGGTCACTTTTGATTCAACTCAGTTTATTATTCAGGTCCCGTTGAAAGCTTGTTACATTGTTTCTTTAACGAAGGCTGCACGGTGTTGATTTTTGGCTCGCCACAATAACGGGGAGTGAATGGCCCCGATTGAATTCTTTCGATGCGGATGATGAGCTTTTCTTTCAAATCCTTTAAGTTCTTTGAAAAGGAGGGTGTTGCATTTCAATAACTTGACTATATCATTCCCCTGTTAATCAACAAATCGTATATTTGCTAAGGCTCGCCTGTTACTGTAGATCTGTCCTCAAATATTATTTTAAGTCACGGAAATATTCATGTTCAATGGCTTAAGGATATCAAAATGGGGCCCTCGTTGTGGATAACAAAGACCCGTGTGGCGTTCAGCTATCAATGCCATCAAAACATCCATGTTCAAGGGCCTATATTCACAAATGCGATGAAAATATTGACCGTGACGTGGATAAACGAAAAGTCGGTGGGGAATTTACTGAATTTCAACACAGTTAGGGTTAGGAGGGTTATGTATATTAAAAGTGGCTAATGCGCTACGTTTTGGATTATTTTACAGCGTCTATTCTCAACGATCAACAGAATTCGACCTCCGGGTCGAAAAGAGCGTGCTCGCAAGCCAGGGGTCGGCTTTTTTCGCGGTGCGTTAACACCAAGGTGATTTGTTGGCAAATAAAGCGCATTCTTCTCG